CAACCGATGTCACAAGAGTACTACCGAAAACTAACTCAACCAAACCACTATCACCAACACAACTCAAGTTATGGTGTATCTTCGATGATGGATCAGTGACATCTGCCTATAGTTATGACGTGAACTATGGCAATGATCGAGTGTCGCTCGTCGATTGTCCTCTCAGTCCATTTGCTAGTGATGAATTGTGGAGATATAATCGAACATTGCGTGTTTATCTTGCTTCGACAACAGACAAAGATCGAAATGCTCCTATTCTCAAAGCATTTGTGACTGTTCCTTTGCCTGCTTCACTTCAATCGAACTCAAGTCAACAATTAATGACTTTATGTACCTCACCCCTACATAACAAAGCGCGTCAACTTACTCAATGGATAGAATTTCATCGATTAGTTGGCTTTCAGAAGTTTGTAATATATAATTCAACCGATACTAATGGATACCTTTCATCAGTTCTCAGTAATTATGTTCGAAAATATCCAAATCTCATCGATGTTATTCAATGGAATTTTTCAACTCTAGCTCTCACTGACGTTTTATCGGATAGATATTTTCAACTTGAGGCTCTTCATGATTGTCTTGTTCGCTATGGCGATCAGTCGGAGTGGTTAGGAGCACTAGATCTTGATGAGTACATTGTACCTTTTCATCCGTATGAAACTGTTCTCACTTATCTCAATGAAAATTTTGGTCAACGTGTCATCGGTTCAATTAATCTATGGAGTCAATTTTATTGCACCCAAAGCACTAAAACTTATACAGGGATAGAGAATGACACAAGTCGATTAGTAATCGAACGGTTCACTCTTCGAGCATCAAAGCGCTTTAAAGGTGGACGTGAAAAGTATCTATATCGTCCTCGTTTTGTTCAATATTTATCGATTCATCATCAAGTCTTCGGGCTGTCTAAGCAAGAGCCGTCGGAAGATCACATTACACTAGCTCATTACATTTCAATGGATTATCTACGTTCCATGGCTGGTTGTGATGATGGACAATTAGTGACAGATACTAGCATTCGTGATCGATTTGCTAACAGCGTTCATGACGCAGCCAGAAGACTTTCCACCTAGATTTCATTTTCTTGTTATCGAAGATCAAAACTAGTTAGGAAGATTTAAACTGTGTTCTTTAACACTCCGAGAGTATCTATCGATTTTATTCAGTGTGGAGACATTAATAAAGAAAAAATAAGACAAGTTTGAGAATGATCGACTTTGACCTTGACTTTATTTTGAACTTTTTCAAAAAATACTATATACTTACCATTGTACATTTGTTTTAGCTAATGTCTTGATTTTAGAATAGAGAAAGCATTTCTCTATCTACTCATGTGACTGGCATCTAAAGTAGATTCGATTTTAATAAGCAGTGCCCATGACACGAAAAAGTATTTCTGATTGTGCTTTGTTCTCCTTACATCCCAGTTTCATCGTTCTAGTAGAAGTATACCGCTCTACCAAGTCGTATGACCTTTTCTTCATCATAACTAACATAGTTCCGGATGAAACTAACATCATTTTATTTCTTATATCAATCTCTATCGATTGATGTCTCTCTCATGATTGGTGAATGCCGTCTTCATTGTCTTTTCACATCACAGTCGAATTTTGAATGTGATGCAACTATGATGGAAAAAAAAGGGCACTGATGAAACCTTTTGGGATTCTTGATTCGGATATCATTTCCGAATCTTTGAAAGTTCTAGCATAATATAGTTCTATTTCGAAGTGTTTCTGTCTGCTTTGAAAAAGTATTCTATCCTGATGAGAAACACTCTCTATGACACACTTAGTTCAGTTGTGCTGATTTGATCAGCTGTTTCTATTTTCAAACATTTGCTATACCAAAACCCCCAATTTAATGCCTTGCTAACGATACCGATCTTTAAGATAATTCTAAACAAATCTATAGAATCTCATTTATAACTGTATATACTCAGACTTATCATGAGAGGGATAAGATCAGACATTCTCTTATCTGTCTACAAGAAAAGATCGACGAGTTCGTTTTTCAAAATTATTGGAAACCTTTTCGATTATTTTCACCATTCAAATTTGACATCCAGATAAAAACTGAAAAATATGGATAATATTTCTTTTATTAGCTTATCGCTAATGGTTCATTTTGAGACATTCCAGAGAGAGACAATCATTATTCATTTTTCTATGTACCTTAACCATTGAAGTGATATTCGAGATATTCACTAGTAAGTCACTGAAAGAGAGTCACAATCGATCATGCTCAATTGAAAATTTAGGATTTCGATGAAATTTATTCCATCTTATAGAGCAAATCGTTTTAAGTATATAGGCAAATTTTTAGACCTAATGAATGACTTATAGTTGAGATATGATGATCCGATTAAAAGTACATACAACAGCTTTTTCTTTATTTGACATTTTTTTTTCAATCATTTACTACTGGTCTTTCTACGATTTCTTCTCGTAAGTATGAATCAGAGCTCTGAAAATTTACCAGATATACATTTCAAGATGAGCAATTCAACTATCCTATCCAATAATGCCTGAGTGGTGACTACATGTCACTGTACTTTTCACTTTAGTTCTTCTTTCCTTATCAATTACTTTCAGAGGTAGTCTATATTTATAATAGACTTTCTCCAAATCAGTGTGATAGAATTGCTTAAGTTTTTTCCCTAAAGATTACTAATTTTGTGCTACTTGAACATGAACTCAAAAGTTTGAAATCTTGAGGTTTGATCCGACCAGCATTATCAAAAAATAAACCTTTTTCATATATAGTATACGACGAAAGATGATTAGATGTCATTCGGCTTTATTACATAACAAAAGTTTTTGACTTCAAACGTTTAGTAGTTGCAGAAGATAAAGGACGGTGGACGTTTTGCCTTGATATCGACCCCTATAGAAAACATAAGTAGTTTCACATGAAACTTTCAGCAATTGTAGAGCTCAGAGTCAGTAGTCATTCCCGTAAGTTTCAGCATGATCGGTCAAGCTTTGCCCTTATTTCGATACTCAGCCATATAGACCCTATTGAGCCTTCTATGGGTCAAAGAATCATTCATTTTAGATGGTACATATAAGTACATACTTTGACAGACAATTTACATATCATTCGATAGAGAATTTAATTCTGAACAAAAATTGTATAGATATATTCGAGTAAAAATCAAACATTGACTACAAAAAATTCCGAATACCCTTAATATGTGATCGTATACAGGCTTTGGTGGAACCTTGTGTACCTTCGATGTTCACTATATGATTCAAAACCGAAATCATTTTCTCAGTATCAATACTAATCATTAAGAGCTAAAAAAGTGCCCGAATAAGTAACTGCAAAGGATGTGCGTTGGTGTTGCTGTGGCTGTGGATGTGTGAGTGTGGGTGTGAGCGTGCGCAGAGATGGAACCGGTCTACCGGTTTACCGGTAGTGACAACAGAATACTGATGATACGCCAGTTTATCAGGAAAATCCGATCTATCGATAAAATATCGATCTACAGACAACAGGCTGAAGCTTAAAATGAAATCTTCTTGTGCAGCAAACTCTCTGGTGGATTACCTTCGTATCTTGAATACAATCATAGAGTAGGAAAGTGAAAAATATAGACCAGTATAGACCGGTCGATCCAAAATCCAGACCGGCACCGGTTCCATCTCTGAGCGTGCGAGAAGAGAAGACCCACACACATCTAAACACTCACGCTCGTACCCACTCATGAAATGGACAATGATTCTTCGAATCAATACGACCATTACAGCAAACACATTCGATAAGTATTTTTATGTGAATAATAGTGAGATTTTCCGTTACTACCCGTTACTTCTGCCTCCGTGATATACGTAAGCCGAAAGATAATTAGTAAAATCCTTGGTTTGTATAGGGCTAGAAATCCACCTAAGTACGTCTTACCTTAATCTGGATTACTAACCATTTGAATACCGTGCGAAAAAAATTTCGTGGAATACCATGCAAGGACATTTTTGTCCATATATATAAATCATAAAAAAATTCAACTCTACTCAACTTTATTATTTATATTTTAAAATATTTTCGAACTAATAATGTGAGAATTGAGTTAGTTGGTTGCAAGTAAAATGATCGATTCTTTTAAAAATGTACATTATATATTGGTAAACAAGCTAGGAAAGTTCCGAAAGGACTTGGAAATAATCATGAACACATGAGAAAAATCATAGGTCAAAATAAGAAGAAGAAAGCAGTTGGAATATACATCAAAGGTGGAAGAAAGGAAAGAACATATATATCTGTATGATGTCTACGACATTTATACGATATAATAGGTGAGAGGACAGAAAAAAAACGATATGTAGGTGAATCATACTATAACATGAACTTTTTTCATGTAGAAGAAAACATTGTTTCTTCAAGAAAAAATGGAGCTTTGATGAAAAGAATGCATTTGACGGCAGATGAAAGAGCTCAAAAAATTTACACTCTAAAAAGTTGATATCGATTAGTTGAATTTTTCGCCAAAAAATAGTAATTTTTTATTCATATGGACAAAAATACCCATGCATGGTATTCGAAGAGTTAAAAAAGCTTTTCTCAAAGAAGTTTAATTAAAAACACTGGAAACGTTTTTTATCGTCTGACTTTTGATGTCTATCTGTTGCGTATCATCTACTGCGGAAACATTGAGAAAATTAAAACCTCAATTGCATCACATCTTATTTAGCATTTCGACGAAAATGAAAAACGAGCAGTACACATCAAGAGTCGCCAACATCTGTGGATTGTGTTATAGATGCTAATGATAACATTTACATCAACACATAAGGTCTGTTTTTTTGCTCTAAGATATGTGACTCTTTTCATAAGAATCTTCGTTATTTTCAAAAAAATATAGGAATATAAGAAAAATGATTGCAACTGTGATTTATTAATTTTTTAACTAATCAAATTATTAGTAACAAACATTGCAGCTATCATACAGTGGAATGCACTATTAAGTATATTTATGAAAAATACAATTAAACAAAGTATGTTCATCGCTTAATAATCATTTGAATTTGATGGACAACTTCATCTTGTGAAAGATTATCACAATTAATAATATACGTATAAGGTTCATCTTCCTGATTTATAGATAATTCAAGTGTTGCAAGTTGTGAATCTAATAATATAGGATTCATAAAATGTTCATGTAATCGTCGAAACAAACGATCATGTAATACTTTTCTTGATAATGTTAATATAATAATATAAAAATCTTCTTTTGGCATCTGTGCTTTAACATTAGGATCTGATGAACCAGTTAATAATATTTGTCGATAGGATTTCTTTAAAGCTGAACATGTCATAATACAACTTCGATTTGTTAATAAATATTTTTTTAATTGTTCATGAAGAACTTGTAACCAAGGAAGACGATCTTCATCTGTTAATGCTGTACCTGCGGTCATTTTATCAATATTTGATTTAGAATGAAATTCGTCTGCTTCGATATAATCCCAATTATATAAATCCTTTAGTCTTTTAGCTGTAGATGTTTTACCAACAGCTGTTACACCTCCAATAATGACAATAGGCATCTGAGAAACAAAAAGAGAAAAGATGACGTTATTTATTCATTAATTTATATCTGATATGTTTTAATTGTACAGTAAAAAAATATTTATCTTATGAAACAAAAAAAGAAAGCTAAACTGAAAGCCATTGTTGAAAATATTCATTCATTTTTTCTCGTACATTTGCACGTCCGACATTAACTCTATGAAATCGAAAATAAATTAATAAATAATAACTTTGAAATTTTATTATTTACATACGTTGGTATTATTCTTTTTGGTTTAAGATACTGAATAAAATTTTTTAATTCATCAAAAGAACTATGTTCACTATAGGGAAAACCTAAGAATTTTAATCATAAAAATAATACATTATTTAAAAATAGAATAAAGAAAAAAACAAACCGTAGATAATAATATTAGATGATTTCGATTCAATTGAATAATGTTTTGATCCACTTGTTGATCGAGGAGTTGTCCAACCTGTTGGTTTTATTCCAATTATTTTATTATATTTTAATGAATATTTATCCAAATGTGTTTGTAGCATCTTTTATTAAAAATAAGAGAATAGACTTTTCTTTTTTATTTACTCAAATCTTACTGATTGAGTAATTGAACCCATACCAACAACATGAACATTTGTTTCATTGGGATTTGTTGTTAAACGTTGTGATAGATCAGTGTTTTCTAATTGATTAAGTATACGAAATTTTCTTGTTTCAACAAATATTTTGCAATCAAGTGCTTTTGCAATAGCTAAATAAAAATGAAATATTTTCATCTAATATTGTAAAAATATATGTGTCTATGATTTACCATGAAATATTCGTTCTTTACCAATAAGATATGTTCCAATAGTGATCAACGTTCTTGCATTTTCTTTTAATGAATTTACAACTAATTCAACAGCACTTTTGATGACTTCATCTTGTGATGGAAAACGATAATGAGAATCACAATAACTAAATTACATAATCATATAGAAAAGAAAAAAGAATAACCAAATTAAAAATCGACATACGTTGTATCAAGATAAATTGTGTCTATTTGATTAGGTTGAAGTAATGGATGTCTTAAAAGGTTTGGTGCTGCTCGAAAATCTCCCGTGTGTAAAATTAATTTACCATTTGGAAATCGAAATAAAAACATAATTGAACCGGGACAACTAAAATTAAACCAAATCAAATACAAATCAATGTATTTTACTTTATATATATATATTTACTGATTGGCATCTAAAAGAGCTACATCAATACCATGAACATTTGTAAATACATTCATAGGAAGAATAGTCATATTTTCTGATCGAATGCCTAACTGACTTTGACATAAATTGCAAGTAATCTATGAAAAGAAAAACAAAGTAGATGATAAGATAAAATATTTCATTGACAAACTTGATTTGAATAAAGCATATTAGAAAACTTTTTATTTAATCCACCATAATGATCCGAATGAAAATGTGAAAGAAAATAAGCTTGTATTCCATCAATATTACCAAAATTAAATGCATCAATACAAAATGTTGTACCTAAAAATGTTTAATTATAATGTGTATAGTGCGTAGAAGTATTTTTATCATTTATACATTCATAATGACTTTATAGAGAATAAAATTTCGTTCTTATTTTTATTTTGTGCGAAAATATACAGTGACTTTCAAACCTTTTCGGTTAGGTTTATTTTTAATTTTTTCTGCTGTCATAAATACTAAGAAGAATGTAAATAATTATCTAAGTAGAGAATTTTATTTCCAACAAGACTTTTTGACGATAAAATTGATTGGTAGTACTTCGATGATAGGATTTCAGAAAAAGTCAAATCAGACTTTTCCAGCTTCTAGAATTCGCAATCATAATTGTTTTTGAATTACTCAAAATGATAGAGCTAGAAATTCTCTACAAAATGAAATGGTTTCTAGTTCTCTACAACTTTTTTTGACTAAGATATATCAATCTTACGAAAGACACAGAAGCCTTTTTTTCTGTTATATCATATGGAAATACCATTTTCTTGCCTTCCGTAAAGTTGATTTCACTTAGTCAAAAAACAGCATAAAGAGCTAAAAGAAGTTTCATTTTGTAGAAAATTATCTATTCTATCATTCTGAATAATTTACATAGAACTATTATGGTAAATTCTAGAAGCTGAAAAATATTGGTTTTGGTTTTTCTGAAATCCTATCATCGGAGCACTATCAATCATTTTGATCATCAAAAATTCTTGTTACAAATAACATTCTCTATTAAAATCACTATCTGAATCCTTCTCAGCGTTTATGGCAGCAGAAAAAAATTGAAAATAAATCTGGTCAAATAATTTTGGAAGTCATTGAATATACTCAAGATGATCACCACTGACTCTACACAGTCTCTGCCTTCTCATACAAAAAAGAAAGAAGGATTCATTTTACCAGGTATTTTTTTGTAAAATGGACATGTTCGTTTAATAGGAGCTGCTGATGCGTTAAATCGATAATGATTCGATGGTTGATCTTTGTCTAATTCAGACCATTGTTCTTTTAATCCATCGTCAATTGGTTTTGCTTTAATTGATTTACTAAATATTTGTTTCCATATTGATTTACTATCGAAAATAGTTGATGGTGTTTGTATGGTAGTTGTATCAACTGATAATGAACTGTTCGATTCATCATTCCATTGAGAGAAAATTTCTTCTTCATTAATATCAACTCCATCAAAAGATACTGTTCGTGTTTGATTAATTGTTGTTTCTTTTTTGATAATTGATGGTGAAGAGACTGTTCGAAGCAATGTACTTGAAGATTTTGACTTAGCTACTGTTAAAGATTTCTAAAATACAATTTAAAAAAAAAGTATTCTATGTTAAGACACTAATTGGAAGACCAACGAAACAAAAACGATCTGTCTTTACTATAAATGAAAATGTTCTATTAGTAATAATCAGTATGCTCAAGCATGAAGATATTTTGTTAACAATATTGTTTCATAATAGCACATTCTATCATTTATTCAAAATCATTATTAATTTTTTTGCCCACTAAATTAATGAAACGTAAGCAAGAAGTGGCAAACCTCAATTTAGTACTAATTTTGAAACCTATATATTAAAATTATTATGAATTTCAATTCTTCAAAATTTCTACAAGCTGGAAAAATCTTACGAATTTGAATTAATATAAATGTAATTATCTGTTCTTTCAAATTCTATCATTCTCCAAAATATCGCAGAAATCAGAAATTTACTGGCTTGAGAATGCATGAGAGTGAGAATAATGGTGAGAATGAGGTTAAGGATGCTCGTTAGAGAACGCCATTGGGGTAGAACAAGTAGTCACTGTTACGGTAACCGGAAAAATACTAATATCAGCGAAATAACATTTCTCGTTGTTTATTTCTGATTTCTGCTTTCCTCTTAATCGTCATAGGCTATTTTGGTTAAAAATCAGAAATTAGAAAACCAGACACTTAGTAAAAGTTAGTAACAATTTGAGATTTGCCATGATCTCAACGTAAGTCGGTCAGTTTTGTTTGACTATCTTTTGAAAGTAAGCATGATATATATATTTAGAAGTATCCCGTAAATTGCTTTTCTTTCAAATTTGATGTTCTAATTGAATATGACGTGATTGAAAGATAAATATTATTCAGCACATAGATTTTCTATATCTAGTCTATTGTCTAAGAGCAATCAAGCGTATGTGTATGACTGTATTGCATATTTTTAATTTATGATATTTCAATGAAAACAGTTTGAGTTCAAAATTGAATGTTTAAATATCATCTTGACGTCATTCGATCCAAACAATGAAAAATCCAACTATTGTTTAATTAAAAATTAGCAGTAAAAAGAAAAGTATTATACATTATTTATTAGATAGATTTGACCGAAGTGTTGACGATATAAAATCTTCAAATTAAACAGGTACGAATTAAAATCAATTTCAATCGAACTGAGTGCGTTCATCAAAAATATTTTTATTTACCGTTTGTGTTATTCTCTTGGTTTTTTGTTTTGGTGAACTTTCATTTGATGACGAAGCAATCATTTTTAAATTCCATTTTCTTTCTTCATTACCATTCTCATTACTGCTAGTTCTTATAATTGATAATGATGTTTGTCTAGTATTACCTATAATTGGTTGTTTATTCATTATTTGTAATGGTTTATGTTTTAGTAATGAAGATGAACGTTGACGTTTATTAGTAATTTCATTCATTTCTTTATCTTCATCATCAGATGAAATTGTTATAACTCTTTTTAATGATGATATTTCCTGTTCATTTTCATCTTCAGTAAAATAACTATGTTTACTATTAGCCATCAAATATTTTTTTTTTAAATCTAAAAGAATGGATCTTAGATAGTTTTCTTTTATTCTTGTTTTTCTTTCTTTTTTTTTTTCTTTATTAATCTATTTTGAGTTTATCTAAATCAAGATAACATGCACAAAATTCATAGAAGATATTATTTGCTTGTCGATGATTGATATATTTATTGAATTTTAGTACATTATCATCTTCACGATAGATTAAGTTAAGACTATTATTATCAGGTATAACACGTAATAACTAAAATAGAAATTTCAAATTAAAAACAATAAAAAAAAAACTCCTCTCATACTGTTTCATCTTCGTTTTTAATAGTGTATACAACATCACCACCACCAACTGCATCATCAGTCTCATCTAAATAAACCAATTTTGTATACATAATATTATAATATAAAGAAATACTTGAATGATAATTGAAGAAGATCATAACATCAAGTGTTCCATCCTTTTCTTTATCATCATCATCATCGTCATCAACATTATTATCCGTGTCAAATGATATACTATAATATGTATGTTTCCATCTTCGTAATTCAAAATACCATCGTGGTACAGATGAAGATGAATGCGTTGAAGAAGCAACATCAGCTTAATAAAAGAAAATTTTTAGAATAAATCAAAATGAAATATCCTACTAGTAGGATTTGATTTAATTTTTTTAGGTGATGGTTCATATTCTGTTTCTTCATCTTCATCATTTTCTGATGTTAAACCCGTAAGTGATCCAAGAATAGTAAACATAGGTTCAGAACCAAAAAGTTCAATAAGAGTTCTTAATGCTGATGGTAAAGTAGTGATATCAGCAATATCATAATTTCTTTTAAATAATTAATTCAAACTTTTAATTTTCATTTAAAATTTATTTTATTACCGTTTATTACAAGGTCCACGTCGTATCCATGTGATTGTATCACTTTGTAATTCATTGACCATTGATTGAAAATAATCTTTCTTTATAAACAAAAAAAAAACACGCAAACCAAACCATCTATAAATGAATGTTAAATATTTATTCAAGATTACTTGAAAAAATTCCGCTAATTTTGTTTCAGAATTTTCTTGAAATGCCATTTGAACATCATATTGAGTTTCAACTTTGAGATATATGGATGATATCGTTTGATTCACACGATCTAACTGAAATATACTTATGTTTGATCTATTTAATAAAATAAGAAAAAGAAACAAAGCAGATTTTACATCAGTCTGTTGAAATTTCGTTGCTGGTTTCGTGGCAGGTAATGGTTCAAAAATAGGTACTGGTCGTGCATTGATAGGACCATGAAGCCAACCATTAATTGATAAACGAGCTCCTTGTTTTTCATTCAAAACTTCTGCTACCTAATTATGTTATAGAAGAAAAGATAAATAACATTGTAAAATATTTTACTTGAATTATTAGTTAGACTCAACACTTTAGTTAAATTAATTTTATTGTGTTAATGTACATAAGAGAAATATGAACGTTCTCTACAACAAGAATTTTTGATAAATTATTAAATTTTACTCTTATCTTGAAAGTAAGACAGTCTTATATTTGTATAGTTTCAGATTACAAAATGTGAAGTGTTATGCAAAAGACAACAAGTATTATTTCTATTCTATAAATAGATTCAATCAAAAGTATCTTTGACTGAATCATATTATGAAAGATTATAATAGGTTTAGCTTACAGATCTACACGGTAGAGATTTTCCAGAGTAGGGTAAAATACGGGTTAGAAAGTTTCTCTCAGCCAAAGTACAGAGTACAAAAAAAAGGCTTACTCTGGACATCTCTAACATAATATTATTTTGCTTTTGTTCCATTTTAGAGTAGGATTAAGGGAGAGTAAGATAAAAATTTTTGTAGAGTAGGGTAAGGATTAGAAAATTTCTCTCAGTCAGAGTAAGAAAAAAGCTGCCTTTGCAGATCCCTAGTCTAGCTCATGGTATGTCCTAGAATTTGAACATTAACACAAAGCTATCATTAATTAAGCATTATAACTCATAAAAGTATTATACTCAGTGATATCAAGTCGAAGCGATATAAAATACTTGCCTGAAATATTTAAGTAAACTAAAATTTCCTACATATACAATTGACTATTCAAAATGAATTTTTCTTTTCTTTTTTTTGAAAAACTCTATGAATGCTTGAAAAGAATGAATATGTTCAACGTTTAAAGTGAAAATTTGAAATCTTATTTTTTTTCTATTTTAATCAATGAAAATTACCTGATGATAAGATTTATCAGTAACTTCAAAAAAGGCTAATCGATTTCGTTTTGGTAATAATGATTTCGTAATACGACATGGTTGAGTTTCTTCTACAATTTCAAACAACGACAACAAAAGATACAATCCTAACAATGCTTAATTATATATACCATCAGTATCAAATAGATCTAGTGCTCCACCGTCCGTTTCTTTCCAATCATCAGGTACAAGATAATAAATAAAAGCAACACGACGACCTTCAGTTGTTCCATGTATATCATCATCATGACATAAAAGATAATCTTCAACAAAAAACAAACGACAATTTCGATCATTACGAAAAAAAAACACAAGTTACAAATTTACCTGTGTATTCATATTTTGAAAATGTCATATCAACTTTGTCACTGAAATGAATATCAGTTGCTTGTGTCAGCCAATCTTTGAAATCTACATAGAGAAATTGCCTGGATTCGAATAAAAATATAATATCATTCCACATATCGAATAAACCCACTTGATCTGTTCAATAGCAGGCAATGTTACATAGGTCAAATCATCGGACTATATCAAATAGAAAAATTATTTCAATTATTATAAAATACTTTTTGTTTTTGTTTTCATTTTTTAACCTGTTGAAATTTATATAAATCATTATTTTTTTGATTCATCTTGATATTATTTAATTCATTGATTAATTGATTACAAAATTGATCAACATTTTTATCGAGAACAAAATCATCGATAGTACAATATGAAAATGGTTCATGTTCCAATCTTATAACTTGAAGAAATTTTTTATAAAAGAAAACCTATTAAACTTTATCTGTTTGCTCACAAACCTTTTTCATGAATCGGTAATTGACTTGTATAAGCATCTCGAAAACGTTTGATTGAATCATTATCAGTTAATATTGGATTAACTGATACTAAACGTGGTTTTTTTT